GAGGATGAGGCAGGAGAATTGCTTGAACCTGGGAGGTGGAGGTTGCAGTGAGCGGAGATCACACCATTGCACTCCAGCCTGGGCAACAAAATTGAAACTCTCTCTCAAAAGAAAAGAAAAGAAAAAGCCATTTAACCTCTCTTTGCCAAAGGATTCTCATCAACAAAACAGTGATGAAACAGCAATCCCAAGCTAGCTAGTTACCTTCTGAAGCACTTATTAAATCAGGTAAAAGGATTTTGCTTAATCCTCAAGCCTGAGAGGGGGTGACCCCTGTGGTGATGAGGAAACCGAAGCTTGACAGTTAATGGCTTGCCTAGATTCCTGCTGCTAGCCAAGGAATGGACTGGAATTTACACCCTGACCCTGGCTGCTTTTCACATCTTCTACACAGCCTTTTCAAGATCCCTGCCAATTCTAAAATTAAATGATTTGTGATCAACTGTGTTTCATTCTTCTATATCAGTTCCCAAAACAAATTATATCAAGAGACAGCAAAAATATTTGTAAAGAAAGGATCTCCAACAGTCTCTGTTGTTGTTTTTCTGTGCTCCTCTAGTGGTAGAGCCTCTATTCACCAGTGCCACCTCTTCTTTTAGATGTAAGAAAGACCTGGACTGCACGAAGTTGTGCCTACCCCCCACTGAGAGTATTAAGGGCCCCGAGGACCCAGGTGAGGAGAAGTGTCCCGGTACCCATGCTCACCCGCCCTCTCTTTCTCCTTACTCCACACGTCCATCCATCCCACCCATCCATCTACCCCTGTGGCCTCCCTCTGCCCCTTGCTCTGACCGCCACCTGCTTTTCTCCAGGCACCACAGTGCTGTTGCCCCTGGTCATCTTCTTTGGTCTTTGCATTTTATCCCTCTTCATCGGTTTAATGTATCGTCATCAACGATGGAAGCCCAAGCTCTACTCCATTGGTGAGTGGGCTTTGGGAGGGAGAGGGAGCTGGTGAGGGTGAGGGAGGAGGTGGGTGGGTGCGGTGGATGGGTGTGGAGGGAGGTGAGGAGTGTCCCCTCAGTTCACACTGCTGGGGACTCTGGGCAGAAGGTGGCCCTGGATGGCTGGGGAGAGGTCGAGCTGCATCAGTAGCTCTCTTGTCCTTGGGGCCACATAAGCCCTGAGGCATGTCACCACAATTCCCCACTGCCAGCTGAGTCCAGGGCGCAAGGGCTGAGAGAGGAAGTGAAATTTATGATGCTTTGTTTCTTTTTTCTCAGTTTGTGGGAAACCAACGCCTAAAAAAGAGGTGAGATGAAATCAGGGAGCTACTCCCAAATGTCCCTGACTGTTGCTTATAAGTGCCTATTCAGCTCCCCTGGAAACATCCTTCACCTCCCGGGGGCTCCCCTCATTTCCTCTAAGTCCCAACCCCCCATCCAGAATAAAGAGGGGAGGGGCGGGGGCTGGTTTTTGCTCCCCCATTAATGCTGACCCGCCTTCTCTCTTTCAGGGGGAGCCTGACGGAACTACTTCTAAGCCCCTGGCCCCAACCCCAAGCTTCAGTCCCTCTCCAGGCTGTATCTCCACCCAGGGCTTCAGTCCCATGCCCAATTCCATCTTCACCTCCAGCTCCATCTATACCCCTGGTGACTGTCCCAACTTTGCGGCTCCTCACAGAGAGATGGCACCACCCTACCAGGGTGCTGACCCCATCTTGGCCCCAGCCCTCGCCTCTGCCCTCATCCCCACCCCGCTTCAGAAGGGGAAGGACAGCGCTCACCAGCCACAGAGCGTAGACAGTGAGTTTCTCCAGCGGCTGGAGATGGAGGTGGGGGATGGGGGGATTGGCGGGGGACAGGTGGGAGGGTCACGGGCTGCGCTCCCAGAGAGGACTGGAAAAGGCGGAGGGCGCGGGATGCGGGAGGGGTCTGGGGTTGCCACCCACCCGAGGCTCACCAGCCCTCGTCCCCGCAGCCGACGACCCCGCGACGCTGTACGCTGTGGTGGACGGTGTGCCCCCGCTGCGCTGGAAGGAGTTTGTGCGGCGCCTAGGGCTGAGCGACCACGAGATCGAGCGGCTGGAGCTGCAGAACGGGCGTTGCCTCCGAGAAGCGCACTACAGCATGTTGGCGGCCTGGAGGCGGCGCACGCCGCGGCGCGAGGCCACGCTGGAGCTGCTGGGCCGCGTGCTCCGCGACATGGACCTGCTGGGCTGCCTGGAGGACATCGAGGAGGCGCTGTGCGGCCCCACCACCCTCCCGCCCGCGCCTGATCTTCTCAGATGAGGCTGCGCCCCCGTGGGCAGCTCGAAGGACTGTCGCTGCGAAATCCCCTTCCGACCCCCCTTTTTTCTGGAGAGGAGGGGTGCTGGAGGAGCAGGCAGGCGCTGGCCGGCTTGGTGCTACCCTCTAGATGTACATAGCTTTTCTCAGCTGTCTGAGCGTAGCCGACAGTCAGCGCTGTGCGCTGCGTGCCTGGAGAGAGGTGTGCCACGGGCTCAAGAGCCCGGGAGAGGCAGAGCGTGCCAGGAGCCTGAGTGGGTAGTTTCGGGGATGAGGGGCGCTGTGCCTCTTGTCTGTTTTGGGTGTTCTTACCAGCAAGACTGCTCGGGGACCCCTGGTTTCTCCCTGAGCCTTTTTCATACATAAGCAGTCTTTTTTTTTTTTTTTTTTAAAGCAATCATGTTACACTAATAGAAACTTGGCACTTCTGTGCCCTCTGCCTAAACAAGCACAGAGCAGGATGAACTGTCCCAAGGCAGGGGTGAGCACAGAACAATGGGGCCTTCAGTTGGAGCTGTGGACTTTTGTAAATGCACTAAATCTCGGAAATTAAAGCTCTGCTCTTGGAGAGAATGGTCTGTCTAGATGGGAGGCAGGGCAGAGGCCCAGATCCTGAGGGGTGAGCTGGGAAGAGTCCTGCACTAGGGCCAGGTAGCCCACCACCACCACGCCAACTGAGAGGAGCAGCAGGTTCTCCTTCTGTCCTCCCTTATCTGTTGCCCAAGCTGGAGTGCAGGGGTGCCATCAAAGCTCACTGCAGCCTCCAACTCTTGGACTCATGGGATCCTCCCACCTCAGCCTCCAGACATAGGCACACTGTCACACCGGGCTAATTTTTGAAAAATTTTTTTGGAAAGACAGGATTTCCCTATATTGCCCAGGCGGGTCGGGAACTCCTGGGCTCAAGGGATCCTCCACCTTGGCCTCCCAAAGCTCTGGGATTATAGGTAGGCATGCCCAGCCGGGGCAGCCATTTTTATGCACAAGGGGTCAAGTTTCTGTGGGGCTCAGGTGCACCTATACATAAATTTATAGTTCTTGATCCCCAAAGTCCTCAGAGCAGGAGGGAGGGTGCCTGCGCCAGGCTTCCTTTGGGCTTTGAGGTAGAGTCAAGGATGCCGGAGGGTGACCAGCACTGCTGGTGAGAGATTTCCTCTGGGAGAGATGCATGACGAAGGTCCTCCGCGTTCCTCACACCTCTCTGAAAAGACAGGAGGGGGTGTTAGGCGACAGTCAGTGGCAGTGGCTGAGCATCAGGTGAAGAGTGAAGCGGAGAGCCCTTCCTGCCTCGCTCCCTGCTCCTGTACTGCCCTCTTTCTGTACTGCACCCCCCATACAGATGTCCCCGTCTGACCCCTCCCAGGCCAGCTTCCCTCCAGCACTTACGATGTGGACAGGGGTGTATCCAGCTGAATGATGTGGGCCCCCCGCATCCTCTGCAGCTGGGCCAGAGTCAGCTTCCGTGGCCTGCTGTCCTGGGGCTCCGCAGCCCCCTCAATCCTTTGGGTGGCCAGCTCCTCCCGGATCTCTCTGAGCATGTCCTCAGCCCTCAGCGGGTGCAGGGATCTTTGGCCAGCACCCAGGAAGAGAGGCCCCTCTTCCTCCTCCCCTGAGGACTCCCAGGGACTCTCCCCGGCAGAGTCAGCATGGGCTGGGGAGGAGGGAAGCTGGCTCCGAAGCCAGGCCCTGTGCAGTGTTTCTACCACCACATTCCCTGGCACGGAGGCCCCATCTTCTTCCTCAGACCAGGTTGGTGGGTCTCCCCGGGGAAGACTGCCTCCTTTTCGGATTCCTTCTGGCAGTTCGGGGGCACTTCGGCGTTGAGGAGCTTGGGAGTCGGGAGGCTGGGGACGCAGAGGGATAGTCCGGAGGTCCAGGGTGGAGAAGGTGAGGCGAGGGTCCCGCCGAAGGGCTCTTTGGCGTAGACGGCTCAGTGGGGAGCGGGACCCCGTGGGGGTGCCTGGGATCAAAGTGCCATAGCCAGAGTCTGAGGTATCATCTGGCACAAAGGGAGCATCTTCATCTGTGTCTTCTGTCACCACCAGGTGGGGGATGATGGTTGAGATTTCAGAAATCCTGGAGTTAATGGTGAAGAGTCAGATGCATAGGGGTCAAGTTCAAGTTCAGGGAGGTTCCCTTGATCACTACATCCAGAAACAGCCCCTCCTCCAAACTTATTTTGGTAGTCTTTCCATCTCACTGTGATTGGTTTTCTCATCTGGCTCCCTAGATTTTAAGCTCCTAAGAGAGCATGGGCTGCCTCTAAGCTGTCTTATCCATAGCACTTGGTTCAGGATCTTGTATGGGGTGGGTGGTCAGGTTTTTGCCAAGTGGTTCCTAAACTTACCCGACGTCATCCTCATGGATCGATTCTTCTTTTCTCCTTAATCATGCTGCCATTAGCAGTGCTGTCCTAGATGAACCTCTCATATTCCCTGGGGATTTGGCAGCTCTGATCTTCTGCAAATCTACAACCCCCTTCACTCTCGAGCCTGCTCCTCTCGGGGTGCTCCCGTGTGGCTCTAGGCTGGCTAACCCTGTAGGCTGTCCATGCCCTGCCCCCCACCCCTAACACAACTGGTACAGACCTTCCCCACCCTCCCAATAGACTGCGTTCCTCTGTCTATTCCTAATTCCACCAAAAGTGTCCTGTAATGCCATTTCTCAGCCTTATGGCTTCCTCCTCTTCCCCTCCCTGCCTGCGGCCCCCTACTCGGGGTGGTCTTGTAGTCCATGTGAGTCTTACCTCCCTTCTGCACTGTTCTGAGAGCCCTCCAGGGAAGGCGTGGAGGGCCTGGTGCTGGGGGACTCCCTGTCCTGGTCCCGATAGAGGGCCAGGAGCTCCCTCTTCTGTTGGATGTACTCCTCTTCCTTCAGCTTCTGCAGGGTGGCCTGGGAGAGGACACCTCATTATTAAGCACTCCCATTTACTGAGCACTTGCTGTTTGCCAGGCACCCTGCTAAGTGCGTTACATATATCACCTTATTTAATCTTTACAAAACGCCATTAGCCAGATATTTTTACCCCTCCCTTACTACCAAGACATGGAGACTCTAAGGTTGAGTAACTGCCCAAGGGGGTACTTCTTATAGTAAGAAAGTGGGGTGGTGTGGGGATCTGGTGGCACCAAACTCTGGAGCTGGTGTTGGGGGTGAGTGGGGTGAACAGAATGCCCCTTTTCCTACCTGTACAGGTCTTGCTTCTCATGCCCTCTTGGTAGACCCTTTATCAGGCCTTCCCCCTCCTTCAGGAAGCCCTCCCTGGTTGGTGGTGATGGTAGAGTAAGTGTTCTGAATTGGTACTGGTTGCTCCTTCAAGAGCACCTCTCTCCTAACCCCTGGGCCTCTGCCCTGAAGCTGGGAGGAGCAGGAGGGCAGAACATGGGCAGAGGTGGGCTTTGTCCCGGGCAGAGGGAGGAAAGTTCCTAGAAGGTTGAGGAGAGGATGCATTGTATCGTCTGTCTTCCTCCCTCCCTCAGCAATTTCATACAGGTACCATCAGAATGAAATAGCGCCATCTGAATAAGCTTCAAAGATCTTTGCACGTGTGGTCATTTGATACACACCATGACCCTTTGGCGTGGAGAACATGAATGGTAGCCCATTTTACAGATAAAAATCCTAGACCTAGAGAGGCGAAGTGACTTGCCCAAGGCCCCACAGCTGTGGAGAAGCAGAGCTGGGACAGGGCCTTGCTCTTTGAGTGCTAGTTCAGTCACTGCAACACTTTCAAGGGCAGCCTTGAAGGATAAAGAGTTACTGAAGGTCATTAGCTTGGGGAGGGAAGAGAAGGCAGCAGAGCTGAGGTTGGAGGCAGAGACAAGCCTTGGCAAAGGGGAGGAACGGGTGGCTGCTGTGGGCAGCACTGATATCAGCCCTTGCTGGTATGGCCACATCATTGTTAAAATATTGAAGGCTTCTGTGCTAGTAAGGAAATGGCTGCTGCCTGGGCCTCATCCACTTCTGCCATCCCCATGATCTAGCAACTAGTGGGTACAGTCTGGCACAGCAGAGGACCTCTAGTACAACGCTCCCTTCTGATTGGTTGATGCCCATGCCATGCTAATTGTTCTCCACAGCTTGAGGTATATGAGGCAGCAGCTCCTGGGCACCTGGACCTTCCCGAAACCCCTCAAGAAAGCCTGGGGGCATCTGGGTCAGCACAAGAAATGAATTGGATGAACCCAGATAGGAAAATGACATCAGAGTTATATTTCCAATTCCGTTTTTTCTGGCTCTCCAGTCACTTATTCCCAAGGGTGACAGCAGTCTTATAAGATGTGGTCTGTTGTCCAGAGCAGGGGAAGGTACCTGGGGACAGGAAACCTGTGAGGGCCAGGACCTGGGGCAGGATTCCCTCTTCCCCAGGCCTTATATCCCAGGTCCATGTGAAGTAGGGAAGGAGTGAGAGAAGGGAGGGTAGAGGGGCTGGGCTGATCTGCTTGTCCTGCTGGGGTGCCCCACAGGACCCAAATTCAGTTTATGTTTGGGGTGTCAGGAGAGGGATGTTACATGTAAGAAAAGAACTGGAAGGAAGCGGGGTTTCTGTAAGGGACATCCAATGCCAGCATCTCTACTAAACTCCTTGCCTGACCCCGAGAAGAGGCTGGAGGTGGGGGACGGGGCTGTCTGAGGTGCCTCCCAGCAAGCCCAAATCCTCTCCAGCAACCCTGGGAGGATTTTCTCAGCTTGTATAACAGGAGAGACACATAGGGGGCAGAGCGGAGGACAGGGAAGGAAAAGGAAATTGGCACTTGAGCCAGAATGTGACACCCTACAAACCTGAGAATAGGAAGGGAGGGTCCCCAGCAGGATTCTTCTTCCTTTGTCCCCGTGTAGAGGAAATGCCACCTTTCCCTGCTGTCTCTGGGGTGGCTCCTAGATTCACCAACTCTCCTCCCAGAACTCCCCAGTGCTGGACTAAAACCGAATTCTGAAAGGCACCCACTGACTTCCCCAGCAACAGATGCATTTCCCCAGTCAGCAGCTGGCCCTACCCAGGTCCCACGGACCATCTCTTTCTTCTAATATGACAATGGCAAACATTTATGGAGTGACCATATAGTGCTGAGCCTTGTGGCCAGCCACTTGCGGATATAATTGTTCTGTCTGTCCTGTGTGCACTGAAGTTCCCCAGAAGAGGTGAAGTAACTCCCTGACAGCTTACGTGCCGGAGCTCAGGGGGGACTTGGATCTCTCCTTCCAACCCTGGCTCTTAGCCTTAGCTGCCTCCTTCAGTCTCCCTGCTTTAATTTCTTGGTCGCCGTCTCTGACAGCTATATCTGTTCCTGTCACTGTTCCTTTTCCTCTTCTCAGTCTGGGCATTCCCCAAGATTCAGTCTCTTCTCCCTGCAGCTCACTTTCCCTAACAGTGTGAGCCATCACAGCTAGACTGGTAGGAATAAATTTACAAGTCAACATTTCTGCCAGGGTGAGAAAACAACAGTCTGACCCCTGGGGATTGCTCTCTGAAAGGGACCAATAGAGATTCTACTGCCCTCTTCAGTTTATAAAGACTGAGGGCTCTGGAGAGGACTCTAAGAATTTGGTGTGAGACAATAGCAGGAAAAGTAATTTCAAAGTTTCGGTTTCCTCTGCTTTGCTAAGGAAGGCAGGGAGCCTTGGTGCGCATCTTGGTTATAGATCTTCATAGGTCTTTCTAGTTAGCCTGGAGTGAGACTACAGGGGCTGAATTGTTTGGCATAGTAAAATACTTGTATTTTTTAATAGCCCTGGGGACTCTAGAGGGAGAAGGTGAGGGTCTGGCAGTTGTTCCAAGACTAAAAACCAAAAAAAAAAGGAGAAAGTTTTGAAGGTGGGAGTGGCAAAGAAAAAAGGCAGCCTGTCATTCACCCCCACTGGCTGTCCTGGGGAGTTGGGGTTCTAGGAACACAGAGGCCCTAGAACCCCATCTTTTGTCCTTGGGCTCCCCTTGAGCCTCTAGTCTTTGGGATGTTTTTTTTATTTGACTTTTTTTTCTGTCGCCCAGGTTGTAGTGCCGTGGTGCGATCATAGCTCACTGCAGGCTCTGCCTCCCGGGCTCAAGCGATCCTCCCACCTCAGCCTCCTGAGTAGCCACCACCTCACCCAGCTAATTATTGCATTTTTTGTAGAGATGGTGTTTTGCCATGTTGGTCAGGCTGGATCTTGACCTTCTGGGCTCAAGCCATCTGCCCGTCTCAGCCTCTCAAAGTGCTGGGATTACAGGAGTGAGCCACTGCGCCTGGCCAAGAAAATCTGATTAACCAACAGAATGGTGTCACTTGCCAGTCAGTCCAGCCTAGTGGAAAGTGTGTTTAGGCCTAGGCAGAAGTGGTGGAGAGAAGTCTCTGCCTCATAGAGGGGACTGTGAACGGCACTGGAAGCAGGGGGCAGGGCAGATGGGAGGCCACTCTCAACACAAAACCCACCTGCCTCCCCTTGGGGCTTGTCTTTTGTCTTTATTTCTCACCTGAATTCCAGGTGTTTGTTTCTGTATTTCTCAAAGCTCCAAAGATATCTCCAGTTGGGTATATCTTGGCTGCTTCAGTTTCAAAGCGCTGCTGTTTAAAACTAAATATTCCTACTCTAACCTACTTCGCCGAGGAAGCAATAACTAAATAAACACGTTTCCCTTTCCCTTTCTAATGAATGCATTGCTGTCCGGGGTCCCATTGCCCACGCAGTCTTCCAGACAGAAACTTCGGGAGGCCAATCGTGCTCTTTGCCCCTGGGTATCTAGAGTTCCTGGGCCTGTGCCCAGTGCTGGCACCAGGCTGTGCGCCTAAGCTGAACGACAGCTTTGAATCTCCCTGGGAAGCAGGTACTGTTATTATCTGTTTTGCAGCTGAAGAAACTGAAGTTGAGGGAGGTCATATAACTTACCCAAAGTGTCACATGGTTAGGACCTGGTAGGACCGGTGTCTGAATGTGGATTTTTCTGAATTCAGTAAAGATTTGAACCACAGTATCCTTAAGGCTCCCCTGCCTCTTTCTTCTATAGCTCCTTTCTTCTCCTTTGCTTTTGTCCTTTTTTGCAATATCTCCCTAAGGCTACGGCACCACACCTTCAATGTGTTTCACATCCACACTAGCACAATAAACTTCCTGCCACCAATTTCTCCCTCCTCCAGCCCACCTAGCATCCTGCCACCTGATTTCCCGAAAACCCTGATTCGAGAGGAAACACACTGATTTCACCATGTCATTCCCTTGCTCAAGAATTCATGGCAGGACCATGCATGGTGGTTCACACCTGTAATCCCAGCACTTTGGGAGGCCTCGGTGTGCAGATCGCTTAAGTTCAGGAGTTCAAGACCAGCCTGGGTAACATGGCAAGACCCTGTTTCTACCAAAAAATGCAAAAAATTAGCCAGGTGTGGTGGTGTGCACCTGTAGTCCCAGCTACTTGGGGGGCTAAGATGGGAAAATCATCTGAGCCTAGGAAGTTGAGGCGGCAGTGAGCTATGATCATGCCGCTGTACTCTAACCTGGGCTATGGAGTAAGACTCTGCCCCTGACCAAAAAAAAAGAATTCACGGTGGCTGTCTCTTGTCAACCCTATTCAACTCAAGCCATCCAGGCCACAGGGTGCTGCAGCTCTGAGGTTCTATAGTATCTCGCCTCTTACCAGCCACTCACAAACCCTGTGCTCCAGACTTAGGCAGGTATGGTCATTATTCCAGAAATAAATCCCGCCCAAATGGTCCTTTGATTCTTCTGCCCATGGTCTTTCCCATCCTTAAAAGTCCAACTCAAACACCCGTCTCTGGCCATTCCACTCCTGTAGTGGGTTGAATAGTGGCCCCCCCAAAAGATAGATCTCATTCCTGACTTCTGAAACCCATGAATGGGACCTGATTGCGAAAAAGCGTCTTTGCAGATTTGCGGAGATCCTAAGAGCTCAAGATAAGCTCTTCCTGGGTTTAGGGTGGGCTCTAAATCTAATACTTGTGTCTTTCTAAGAGAAAGGGGAGGGAGATTTGGACACAGGACACACAGAGAGGAAGGCCAGGGGAGGATAGAGAAACAGACTGGAATTCTGTTGCCACAAGCCACAAAACACCTGGGGCAACCCGGACCTGGAAGAGGCAAGGATGGATTCTCCCCTCGAGCCTCCAGAGGAAACTCAGCTCTGCCAGTGCCTTGGTTTGAAACTTCTGGCCTCCAGAAATGTGAGAGAGTAAGCTTCTGATGGATTTTAGGCCACCAAGTTTGTGGGACCTAATACAGCTCCATTTGTAACTCTCTCTTATTTTGAATTCCTCCTGCTTTATATCTGCTCATATCACTCCCCTAGCTCACCTACAGGATGCCTTATCATGACATCCAGAGATGGGCATGACCTGGTGGCACTTACAGGCTCTCCCTTTCCATGCATCTGCTCTTGCACTTTATAATACCAACGGGGACAGTTCTCTCTCACACACAACTGTTTCACATCTCCGGCCTTTGCACTTTCTGCTCCTCCATGTGGAACGCCCTTTCCTCCCTCCCTTGACTCCCCGACATACTCCTAGGTATCCTAAGTAGGCTGCAGTACCTATACCTTGAGGACAGGAATGGCAGTTTATTCTCTTCTGATTCCCTAGCAGCTAGCCCTAGTGCCTGTACTCAGCAAGTGCCCCATAAATGTCTGCGAATGGAGGACGACTTCTAGAAGTTAATCATTCCAGGCTGCACAAACCTTCAGAGGATGCCATGTCTTGGGCTTTCCCAGTGGCTGGCGCAGTAGCTGGCCAACGGCTTTTTCCATCTTCTGATGGATGGTGGAGTCTCTGCCTCCCTCTTTAGGGCTCACCAGCTGGTCCAGTCTGAACCTGAAACCACCCAGCCTCTCTCTCCTCCTCTTCCTCCCCTCTGTGCTCCCATTTCCTTCCTCCCTCCCTCCCTGCTTGCTTTCTTTTCTTTCTTTTTGAGACAGGGTCTCATTCTGTCACCCAGGCTGGAGTGCAGTGGCACGATCTCCACTCACTGCAACCTCTGCCCCCCGGGCTCAAGTGATTCCCCTGCCTTAGCATTCTGAATAACTGGGACTACAGGTGTATACCACCATGCTCAGCTAATTTTTGTATTTTTAGTAGAGATGGGTTTCACCATGCTGGCCAGGCTGGTTTCAAACTCCTGACCTCAGGTGATTCTCCCACCTCAGCCTCTCAAATTGCTGGATTACAGGTGTGAGCCACCGCTCTGCTCCCATTTCTGAGCTCTGGACCCCTGCCCATGCCTCCCCATTCCTGGCTTTCCCATACCTGGGCCTGCCGGGTCTTCTCCAGCCACTGGGCCCGGTCTGTAGAGCTGGGACAGTGCACAATGAGGGCGCTGGAGACACACTGGAATTCAGTGAGGTGGATGAGCAGGAAGCTGTCTGGATGGAGGAGACAACCTTCAAGAGGCCAGCCTTTATTTGATACCCATCCCGACACCTCCTTCGCCTCGATAAAAGAAGGTAGGGGAAAAGGCTCCCTGCAGGAAGGACTTACGAGGGTCTCGCAGGGGCTGGCACACGAGCTTCTCCAGCATGAGAGGGGGGCGGATGACCTTGGCTTTGTCTGCCTTGCGTTGGGGCTTGGTCACGAGGAGCACATCAGAGAAGAGGAACAGGTACACGTCCAGCTGGGGGTGGGGGTGCGGGGGAAAGAGACAGGGTCAGCTGGAGCCAGAGGCAGGGCTGGTCCGGGAGGAGGTTCAGGTGTGGTGCGCAGGCACAGAGGGACACATGCAGAGCCCGAATGTGGGAGTGGGCAGGGGCATCACTCTGGTCCCATCTCTTGCTTTACAGGCAGGGAAAATGGCGGGCTCAGGGTCACACAAATGACTGGAGCTTAGCCAGAACCACATCCTCTTCCCAACACCCCTCTTCTCCCACTTCCCCCCGGAAGTTGCTGCCTCTTAACTTCTCCCGCTGTGCCCCGTCCCCTCTGCTCTGCCTGCAGCACCCTCACCTTCCCTTCTCGCCCCTCCTTCACTCGCACGGGTCCTTCCAGCAGCAACTGTCGGGTGTACTCAGGGGCAACCCCCAGCATAGGGGACATCAGGTCCAGGGTGGAGAATGGACGCAGGTTCTGAGGGACACACAGGGGAGGGGTCAGAGCCCCTGGCAGGCTGCCTGGACTTCCTGGCCAGTGGCGGCTCCTGGTTCTGCCACCAACACCTTTCTGTCTCTATCCTTCCCCCACGGGCCAGAGGAAGCCTCCCAGTGTCTCCTTTTTACTCTGCTACCTCTACTCATTGGGCTGTCACTAGCGGGAAGAATGATAGACACCCTATGGCACCCAAGTGTGGGGTGTTCTGGCCTCTCCAGGCCTCCCCTTCACCAGTATCGTTGGGACCTTGCTTTTTCTGCATCCCTTCCCTCTGTCCTCTCACCTTTTCCACCTCATCACTGGGTGGCTCCAGCACCTCGTAGGGCCCGATGCGTTGGGCTGCAGCCATCAAGCTCTCTTGCTCTTCGCCCTGGCGGACTTGTCCATTGATGTGTCGCAGGAATGACTCCACAGCTTCAATCTAGGTGGAGTTGGGGTGCGGGAGGAGGCACAGCTCAGCACCCCTCCCAACCAACACCAGCCACAGCACAGCGCCACACTGTCACAGACACAGTAAGAAAGACGTGTTTCCAGTCCCCGACTCATCAGAGTCCTGGCCCCACTGGGGCACCTACCATGGCATTCAGGGCCTCTTGGGCTCGTGCCCCGGGGCTCCTCTTGAGCACAGCATGGAGCAGCAGTGGGTACTTGGTGATGCGCTGGTGGGGCTTGATGAGCAAGTCACCTAGCATCTGCCTCCCGGATCGCTTGTGCTTCTCACACCACTGCAGGGAAGGCAGGCAGGGCTCAGGGGTCTGCTTCCTCCTGCCCTGCCTAGTGGTGAACTCAGCTTCAGGCTCAGCTGGAGACTGGCTGGCTAAAGGGCACCCGTCCCCCTCCCCAGCACCCTCTCTCCCACCTGTATGAAGGCATGGAAGAGAGGGTTAGTTTCTTGCTGCTTTCGGGCGTAAGCCATGGTCTGTTTCACTCGGAGGCAGTACTGGACATAGGGCTGGAACCGCTGGCCAAACTGGAGAGACAGATAAGGGAAGTGGCGGGGAGAAGGCCATGCATACAGGTTCTGGCTGCAGGACCCAGGAGCAGGTGACGAGAGAGCCTCACAGAGGCCCTTAGCACAGCTCCTGCCGGTCTCTCCCTCCCAGGATTGTTCTTGAGCCCAGGCCCCTCTCTCTGGATTCCAGGGAGGAGTGGAGGTCCCGACACAGACCTAGAGCTCAGAGAGCTCTCTCCATCCAGAGCTACTGGGCCCTGCTGCTCTGGACTTACTCTCCCACCATCAATAATTCAGCTGGGCCGTTTACAGAACATTGTAGATCCCATTTCACCCGGGGATGGGGTGGTGACCTAAGGGTTTGCTCAGAACCCTTGCTCCTGTGGAGGGGGTGCCTAAGGCTCCCAGGAGACGTGCGCCTGCCTCTCTCCACCTCTCTACCCCACTGCAACGTTCTCCTGCGGGGCCCATGTTGTCCTGGCTAGGTAACATTGTAGAAGAAAGTTGGACTCCAGGCCCTCTCGCTTTCTCTTGTCCCTCTTCTCCATACCCCGAGCACCTCCTGTGGCCTTTTACATCTGCCCAAGTCATCCTCAGGGTCTCCTCACTTAGGCCCATTTGCTGCACCCAGCTTTTGTAGTTGAGGGGAGCCGAGGTGTGACGCTTCCCTGAGACAACTGCATTTTCTTTTTTGTTTGTTTTGTTTTGTTTTTTTGAGACAGAGTCCCGCTCTGTCGCCTAGGCTGGAGTGCAGCGGTGCGATCTCGGCTCACTGCAACCTCCACCTCCCTGGTTCAAGCAATTCTCTGCCTCAGCCTCCTGAGTAGCTGGGATTACAGGTGCCCGTCACCACACTCAGCTAATTTTTTTGTATTTTTAGTAGAGACAGAGTTTCACCATCTTGGCCAGGCTGGTCTTGAGCTCCTGACCTCATGATCCACCTGCATCAGCCTCGCAAAGTGCTGGGATTACAGAAATGAGCCACTGCACCCACCCTGAGACAGCTGCATTTTCACTTCATAAGGGCCTCCAGAACAAGGAGCCTTTGGCACAGAGGTGAGTCAGATTTGTGGCATGAAAGGTGCAGTTAAGGGGATATTAGGGGCAGGGGCTGCGTCCTTCAGCCCCTCAAATCACACAGAGATTTGTGTACTGCAGGCATGTCCTATACACAGGATACCCGAGGGCTCCCAATTCTGCCCCATCCAGACACAGCCCTTCACAGGCCTCACCGTCATGAAGCCACTTTGCAGGCCGATGGGGTCCAGGGGCTGGCCCGAGGCCCGAGTCTCCTCCAGGGTGGGCCCCAGCACCTCCTCCCAAAAGCTCCGGTGTGTTCGAATCAGGCTGGGGACATTTCCAAACAGGGTCTCAGCTGACACCTGGAGGAGGGAGCAGAACTGAGCAGCATGCCTTTGGCAGGTCACCAAGGGCAGTAATGGCCAAGGAAAGGTGAGAACCCTAAGCTTGGACAGCAGGGGCGGGGAGGGAGAAGGATGAACCTGGCAGTGGGCCTGGAAGATCTCAAGGACACTGGTCTGGGAAATGGGGGGGCCTGTGACCTGCTTGGAGTCCCCAGTAACAGGGGAGTAGGGAGGGCAAGGTGTCCCAAAAATGGGGCAGTGGGAATTCAGACAGGGATGGCTGGAGGGCCCACCCTCATCCTCAGAGCTCGGGCCGTGTCAGAGTCCCCTCCTGAGTGCCCACTCACTTCCGTCAGCAGTCCCACTCGCTGCAAGTTGAGCAGGCCGGCGGCTAGGAGCTGCAGGGAGGGAAATAAGGATCTCAGCACCCCCCCGCCCCGCACTCAGGACCCAGCACAGCACTTCAGGGTCAGCCCCCAGCCCCCACCAACTTCAGTATTGCCAACTTCTCTCCCTGGATCCCAGACTGGCCGAAAATCCTGCCCCTCCCTCCCCCAGTGACCTGCCTTCCAGTCTGAGAGGATGGGGGATCATGCAGGGAAGATGGGGCCAGGGCTGGGGAGGAGGGAGGCTCACATCGGTCATGATCTTGAGCTTTCTCACGTAGATTAGCTCGGTGGTCAGGAGCTCCCACAGGGCTTCCTGTTGGTGGCAAAGTTCCCGGCTCATCTCCTGGGGTGGGGAGAGTGCTGCTTCAGCTGGGGAATGATGATTCGAATGGCAGGTACCAGCTGTTAAGTGCTCCAGGATCCACTTCATAGGTTCTAGGTACTTTGTACATGGCCATGACTTTTTCACCCTCAAACCAATGCTCCAGTGTATAAGTGACATTATCCCCACTTTACATTTGTGCCAACTGAGGCCCAGAGAACCTTATTGTCTTCATCAAGGTCTCACTAGTAAGTGGCAGAGCTGGGATCTGAAGCCAGATCAACGAGTTTCCAGATGCTTTTTCCACATGACCCCACTTCCCAAGGCCTTTCCCTCCTCCAGAGCAGAATCTGTGTGTGCATTCACACCATGGGGACAGACTCACCTTGTGAGTTTCAGGCTCACCTTGTGCCCAGGCACCAGCTCCCTCCAGGACTTCTCGATGGTCAGGCTGCTGTCGCCACCCTCTCCTATCTCCCAGTGCTGCCGGTCCTCAGGGGGCAGGCGGGGCATCCCAAACATGCTGAAAGTGTGCAGCCTCACCTCCAGCTCGTGGGCCTTGCTGACTTCCTGGGGAGCCAAGAAGGGCATCAGCTCTGGCCACATCCTTGGCACCCAGCCACAAGGTTGCGGGAGGGCCGCGTGTGTGTACGTGTGTTTAAGTGTGCGTGTGCACAGGTGTGTGTGTGTGTGTGTGTGTTTTAGGATGGGAGGAGGCAAGCAGCACTGAGTATGAATTGGGGGACATGGAGGCCTAGAGGATGGAGGTCAGCCCCAGCTGGAATTCCAGGGAAAAATGCATTGCTGTAATATGGGTAAAGAGGCACCCTTGTCTGCAGAAAGATCTCTGAAAGGGGTGCAGAAAGGGGTCTGATCTAGGCTCTCTGACAGGAAAGAGGTCTTCTGTGGGTCACCTGATTCACAATGAGGTAGGGGAGGGACAGAAACAGATGCTTCAGGGGGACCTTCAAGTGAATCAGAACAAGACTTAGAGAACCAGTGGTCTCAGGCACCGTTTTGACATTTGCCTATAAAATGGGCTTTTTTATGAACAGCATTGCTTTTTACAGGTTTCTTTCTTTGCTCTCTGTTTTTTTTTTTTTTTTTTTGAGATGGAGTTTCATTCTTGTTGCCCAGGTGAGGAGAGTGCAGTGGCGTAATCTTAGCTCACCATAACCTCCACCTCCCGGGTTCAAGCAATTCTCCTGCCTCAGTCTCCTGAGTTGCTGGGATTACAGGCATGCACCACTATGCACAGCTAATTTTTGTGTTTTTAGTAGAGATGGGGCTTCATCATGTTGTCCAGGCTGGTCTCGAACTCTTGACCTCAGGTGATCCACCTGTCTCAGCCTCCCAAAGTGCTGGATTTACAGGCATGAGCCTCTGTGCCCAACCCATTTTAAAGGTTTCTTTGGTACCAAGTAATGTGGGCAATAGACACTCCTGACCCTCACTCACTCCATCCAGATGTGGCTCGGGAGGAGGGGTGAGGCTCACCGCTGGCGGCTCTGAAGCATGGCGTGGCCCTGAGGATGGAGGGAGCATACCTGACTGTCAGTGACTTGCTAATTTGACTTGCTAATTTGACTTGCTAATTTTCAAAAACTGAAAGCTCAGTATCAGTTGTTTATCCACGTTTAAGCAAAGTGTCTCACGTCAAAGTCCCTGGTTGCAATCCATGGACCAAGGAGAAGTGTAGCCTTGAGATGTCCTAGGCAGAGCCATGTCTGACTGGCAGGCAGCAGCCTCCCGGACCTGGGCTCTCAGCCCCAGGGGTTTGCTGGTCATCTGTGGAGCCATCACAGTTGGGGCCGTATGAGTGGGGATGGGAGGAGAGGGACCCCCTTACCTTGAGTTTGGGGGAGTGAGGTGGGCCGGCCCCCGTGTGGCCCCCATGCCTCTTCTCGGGCTCTGAGTCTCGAAATCTCATGGGTGACAGGCCTCGGGCCTGGCCAGAACCCTTGGCAAAGGGGACATACTGCTGGAGGCGTCGGCGACTGGGATCCTGGGGGAGAAGCAGGGGAAGTTCTGGGGCTGCCTCCCTTTCCACAGAAACCCAGTGAGGTAGTAGGGGCCAGGCTTGGCTCTGGATGTCGTCCCCCACCCTGGTAAGTTGCGCTGGCTCACCTCTCACCACAAACCAGTTTGGTGTGGGCTGTTCCTGCCCTGAGTCACAGCGGCCGCTGCCAGCAAGGCTAAGCTGAGTGGGCAGGGACATGACAGTCTGACTCCCCAAGGGGGTCTGGAGCAGAAGTGGGGCCTCCTGCCAAGCAGGTGCACAGGCACACACATGCCTGAGCTCTGGTGAATGTGTCCCCACTGCCTCCTGCTCTCTGTACCATGAGGTGTGCATGGACAAGGTGTGGTGCACATGGCATTCTGGTCTCTAGTAATTCTCCTTGTCTGTGACCAGCCTCCATCACACATGGGGACAAGGGCACATACATGTGCAGCCTCCTCCCCAGGGACATGCAGCCGCATCCCATCCAGCTGGGGGTGGCTGCCCTTCTGTGTGAAAGGCTGCAGCCACAGCCACATGGCTCCTCCCAGGGCAGGCCTGGTCACATTCCTTCATTTGCCTGTGGCCTGAATTACCCCACATACTTCCTAGTCTCCTTTCTCACCTATTGCCTAGGAGAGTCCCATCTCCAAGGGTGAAATTCTCGTGCAGTGAGGCAGGGGATATCCCAGCCATAAGTGGAACTGTCTTCAAGGTGGAGGGGAAGCCTGCAGGCTGAGGGACACACCTGGCTTCCACACCCCTCTCCGTGGTCAGGATTGGAGGAGGGCCAGGCAGGTGGAGCCAGGGGTGGAGCCAAGGCGGGCACCCTCCTGTTCCTACCCACCACTGGAAGAGCAGGGACATCCTGAACCTTTGCTCTTCTTCATCCTGACTCAGGGAGGCGCAGATGTCAGGAAACCCTCAAATTCCTGCCAAGGAGAGGCGGGAGCCTGGGAGGCGCCAGCTCAGGGTTTGATGACCTTACCCGCAGCTCTGTGCCTGAGACCTGTCTAACAGCACTCCTCTGTGGGCCTGGTTTCTCCTGGCTCTGCCTCTCCTGCCCAGCTGTCTCGGACTGGAGTGTGACATCCCTGGAGCCTGGTCTGGCACTGCCCTTCTCTCCCCCTGGTCTGGCACTGCCCTTCTTTCCCCCAGAAAAGAAAAGTAGGGTAAGGCACAGGAATAGCGCAACCTCTGAAACTGCAAGGGGACAGAGACTCCGCAGCCTAGGTGTCCTCCCTCCTGCCCCACCAGGTCACTTTTGGGGCACAGCCTAGACTTACCAGCACGGGGCCTCCTCGGGGATAGAGGCTGCCAGCAGTGCTCTGAGCAGAGGCTCGATGCCGGCCCCCATAAGTCTCAATGCGGGAGGCCACGAGTCCTTGCAGGGGGCCCTCATTTGGAGGACCCAAGGCCTGCATGTCTTCTCTCCTGGGTCACCTCCAAAGGGCCATAACTTCAGTGTTCAGGAGAAAGGGTCCTCTGGGGCTGCAAGAGAGAAAAGAGGAATGAAGAGCCATCCGCAATCAGTGAGTGGCACCAGACAGGAGACCAAGGCTGGTGGGGGGCCTGGGGAGAGGGTGTAGTGGGAGAGGAGAGGGCTGAGGGCTTGGTCACTTGTTGGGGGGAAATGGCTGCCTCATCTACGACTTGGTGGGAATAGGGTAGGTCCAGGCACATACTGGGTAGAAAGCCCCTTGGAGAGGTACCTCCTCTCTCACATATGTGCGTTTTTGGGGTACAAACTCCTGCACTGGCCTCAAATGGGAACCAGGGTCCCAGTCAGGTCTCAGGCTTTCTGGATACACCCAGATGGGAGAGCTGTCCTTGCACCTGGATATAACCCCATCGCCTTCCCCACATAATGCCTGGGAAAATGCTGGAGGGAGGCCATGGGAGGGGTGGGGTGGGGGCGGGGGCGGGGGCGGCTGCAGACAGCCCAGTCTCCACCAGCTTCTGTACAGCCTGCAAGCTTTGAATGGTTTGTACATATTTACACAGTTGAAAGAACCGCAACCTCAATGCGAAAAGAAAAAAACACCAATATTTTGGGACAAGCAAAAATTACATGATATTCAAACTCAGTGCCGGAAAATACACTTTTGTTGGAATGCAGCCTCCTCTGCTGGTCTCCTAAGAGTCTGTGACTGCTTTCTTGCTAGTTGGGACAGATGGTGTGGGCCGCAAAGTCTCTCATATTTACTGTCTGGCCTTTACTGAAAGGCTCGCTTATCTCTTACCTGAACCCTCCTGGCCACAGACAGGGAGGCGAGTGGGGCCGGGAGTGAGGGTTCCGACACTGGCCTTGACGACCAGCCAAATAGAAGAGTTTCTCTGCTCTTGGGCTATATTTGGTCCTCCCCAGCCTCTGGGAACACCACCACGGAGCTGGAGGCCAGGCGTGGGGCTCCATCCCTTCCCCCTAAACCTGAAGGGAGGGCCCGCCCTCGGGTGGGCAGGGCCTGGAGAGGAGAGGCCTCCTAAGGGGCGATAGGCTCAAGAAGGCAGCGCAGGTGCTTGTGCCCCCACCAGGTGGGTCTGAGGTCACTCCTCAGCCCTCCCCTTACTTTTCCTCCGATTTACGAGTAAAGGAGGAAACATTCACCGTCCTTCGTGCTGCCTCCAAAAGTCCTCCCTCGGAGGGCGCTGTCTCCCTGGCACTGCTCCCTACCCAGGGTCGTTTCTCAACCTAAACCCGGCTCCCCCTCCTCCCGCCTTCCTTCCCCTGCGCCCCGGCTCCCAGGCCCCGGGTCCCCGCCGCCCCGCGCCAGGCCGCGCAGCCCTCCCGCCGCTCACCTGTGCCTGCAGGTGTCCCCGCGCCCGCTGCCCCGCGCCGCCCTCCCCGCCCGCGGGGCTCCCCGTCGCCGTCGTCTCCCCGGCGATGCCAGCCAGCCCCGCTGCCCGGCCTGGGACTGGGACCGAGCGGCCCGCGGGAGCCGGGCGGCGCGGGGCCGGGCGCGGAGAGGGGCGGGGACCCGGCTGGCCCCTCCCTACCGCCCGCACCGCCCGGGGCAGCCAGGCGGGGCCCTGGGGACCAAGCAGCCCCCGCCCTCACGCGGCCGCCGCCTTCCCCGGGCAGGACAGCTCACGTGGCCGTGCCCTTCGTCCCCGCTTTCCGTCGCGCCTGAACTCTTCACCCGGGCGGCAGGACTGGGACCGCGCGCCCTCCCCTCCCGGGCAGACCCCCGCGAGGCGCCGCAGTAGTGAGGACTGAGTGCGGGGCGAGCGCGGCCGGGGAGGCGGCCAGGGTGGCGACCGATGGCAGGCACCCCCCTCCTGCGGGTCGCGGCGAGTGGCTGGCCCTCCCGTCCTTCCCCTCCCTCGGCCTAGATCCCTCAGCAAGCAGGGAGCCCTCCTCCACCTGGAAGGGCCGCGGGGGGCCCCATCGCTGCTCTCCGGCTGTGGAGTCTAAAGTAGGGGCCTTATCTGTCAGCGGGCCGGCTGCCTTCCTGGTGGAAGGTGATGGTGGAAAGCTATCCTGGACTTTGCCTTTGCTCCAGGGATAGGGCCCAGTGTCCGGCTTGAGGCATATCGCACTTCTATGACCTAAGACTCATGTGGGGGCACCCTCCAACTTCACCCTCAAATAAGCCCACTCCCGGCTACACCAGGGCCACGCAGCCCCTGTGGTGGCTGCTAAAATAGATGCTGTGGGGCCAGGCATGGGGGCTCTCGCCTGTAATCCCCACCCATGAGGGGGATCATGAGGTCAGGAGTTCGAGACCAGTCTGGCCAATATGGTGAAACTCCGACTCTACTAAAAATACAAAAATTAGCCCGGCGTGGTGGTGGGTGCCTGTAGTCCCGGTGACTTGGGAGGCTGAGGCAAGAGGATCGCTTGAACCCAGAAGGCAAAGGTGGCAGTGAGCAGAGATTGCACCACTGCACTCCAGCCTAGGCGGCAGAGCAAGACTCTGTTTCAAAAAAAAAAGATGATATGGAAGGACCTACACGTGCTGGGCATTGCGGAAAGAACCACACTTTATATCCTTTATTTTTTATTTTTAAATTTGATTTTTTAAAAAGAAAATAGAGACAGGATCTTGCTGTGTGGCCCAGGCTGGTCTCCAACTCCTGGGCTCAAGCGATCCTCCTGCTTCCGTTTCCCCACCTTTTCACTTCTCCAGATCATGGCACCTCGTCTGATGGAAGCACTGGGTATTTGACGTAGAAGCGTGCTGTGGATGTGCGGTCATTATAATCTTACAACCATGAAGCCCAAGATCCTGTAGTGGGCAGACGGCAGGTCTGAGGCTCCCACTCCCTCACCCTGCCTGAGGTTTATTTCCTGCCAGTGAACTTGACAGTGATTGATTCGGCTCCTTACTTCTGCAGAGCATCCTGAAGTTCAGGAAACACTTTCAGAAGCAGAATGTTCTTGGGTTGCTCGGGGAAGGGGGTCTCTATTCCTCTCTCCTTTCTAGCATATGAAACGCATACATGATCAGAGTGTTCTAATCCTCATTTGGACTCTGGTGATTCTATTTCGCTTGGAGGAGGAATCTATATCATTGGACAGTTTCTAATTTTGTATTCCCTGTGTCCATCCTCAGATCTGCCCTCCGGGGTTCTCTTTCTCTGAGCTTGCTGTTGGGTGATTGTCCTGCTGGTTCAGAAGCCTCTCTGTTCTTCCGGCTCCCTGAACCAGCCTGTCTCCTGCTCCTGCCTCCCAGCTGGTGGTGGGACCAGTTTTCGGGGGTGAAGTCGGGTGGGACAGGAGAAACCGGAGTTTGCCTAGTTCCTAGCCCTTCCCTCTTCCCCATTCACTCTGTGTGTGTGTGTGTGTGTGTGTGTGTGTGTTGTGAGAGCTAGACAGAGAGAGAGAGAGAGAGAGAGAGAGAGAGAGAGAGAGAGAGAGAGAGATCCAGGAATGACAAGAGTAGCCATGAGGGAAAGAGTTAATAAGCCAGGAGGTGGTGATTATGAACAGTATTAAATGACACCCCAAAGACAGCTGGTGTCAAGGGCCCCTAGCTTCTCCTCCCACTCCTCCCAGTGTCTCCCAGAAGGAGTGAGAAGGAGGATTGAGGAGTAAGAGGGAAAATGAACTTGAGAGAGCACCAGACATGCCTGGGCTTACAGTGCTCTGGGGTGAGCTGGCTAGACTGGCCCAGTGGACTGGGGAGAGTTAACCCTTTCACTTCCCTCAAGGCCCTAAGGTCCAATCTCCACCCACCACTGCCCCAGGGCCTATCTTCAGCCTCCCTGGGAGCAGAGGTTCCCTGGGAAAGCTGGAGTCTAGAAGCCAGAGGTGTGGCCGGGCACGGGTGTGTGGGCTGGGAGGCGGGCCTCCTGTGTTCTCTTTCTTCTCTTCTGCTGCTCTCACAGTCTCTGTTTCCACGATCCCTTCTGTGCTGTGGAGAGCACACTCATGTGGCAGACTGAGAGGAGCACTCTCAGAGAGCTGGATGAAATCTAAAGAATTGGGAGGCTAGAGGCTTGGCCTCTACCAAGTGAGGCTAGGGGCCACCTGGTCCTTGGACCACAGTATGCCACCTGGATACTTCTCTCTATTCCTGGTGGTCCTAGTCTTTCCTCACATCCCTAGCTTGAGGCATATCCCTCACTTTCTCCCAGGTAAGGTGCGCCTCACCAGGCCCCCCACATTGACCCTATAACTGATGGTAAAGTGTCTTTCCACGGTCAGAGCTCTGAGGATCAAATGCTTCTGTCCCACAGCAACCTGAGGATAACTGTCTGGACTTGGCATGGGGGGTCCCTATGGGGTTGGCATAAGGAGCTCACCAGGCAGGAATGTCAGGGCAGGAGTGGGGACCATCTGGGCTAATGAGGGACTAGCAGGCACTAGTAACAGGAGGCAGCTAATGGGAGCCGTGTCCTCCCTGTCCAGAGCGAGGGAGAAACTGAGGGTTCAAGCAGGGATGCCCCAGGTCATGTGAGGCAGATGAATACCAGGAGGCCAGCCAAGGGCATAGCCACCGGCACCTCAGGCCAGAACTGCTGCCTCCCGTTTCCTCCCCTCCCTCCTTCCTTCCACACTTACTGGCAATGTGCAAGACAGTAGGAATATAGAAAAGAATCAGACAGGTCCTGACTTCTAGCGATTACAGACTAATGAGGAGGCAGATGGGAGAACAGAGCACTGACATTTAAGTTAGACATAGAATGAGTAAGTCGGGAGCTGTGGGAACGCTTTGAAGGGACCAGTTACTACGTCCGGCCAGGAATGGCTTCTGGAGGAGGCAAGCTTGCGTTGGGACTTGAAGGATGAGTAGCAGACAGCTGGCCTGAGGAGGAGGAAAGGACATTTCCGGAGGAGGGAAGAGCATGTTTAAAAAGAAATTGGAGGAGGGCAGACTTCCCTAAAGGCCTTCTGAGCGCCCCCCCACCATTGGCTCCCTGGGAACATCCCATCTTCCAAGCCAGTGATCTCTGGGAAGTGACTTAGGAGGACGAACCCTCCTGATGGCCTTTCAGGACCTCCAGTTTGACCTGTTACACTTCCCTACTCAATCCCCAGATGTGTCCCCATTCTCTGGATGTCCCTCGGCTTTCCTGGCTCCATGCCTTTTTTTTTTTTCCCTGAGATGGAGTTTTGCTCTGTCGCCCAGACTAGAGTGCAGTGGTTTGATGGTGGCCCACTGCAGCCTCTGCCTCCTGGGTTCCAGCCTCCCTGGCTTCCGCCTCCTGAGTAGCTTGGATTACAGGCACACGCCACCATGCCTGGCTAATTTTTATATTTTTAGTAGAGACATGGTTTCACTATGTTGGCCAGGCTGGTCTCAAGCTCCTGACCTCAGGTGATCTGCCCACCTTGGCCTCCCAAAGTGCTGGAATTACAGGCATGAGCCACGCGTCCAGCCGACTTCATGCCTTTGCTCAAGCTGTTCCCCTCAGCTTGGTGCCTTGTCCTCCCACTTCACTTACCTCCTTCGAGGTCTTTCCTCACTGCCTCCCTCAGGAAGCCTTTCTTAATAATCCCACGGCCAGGCTGATCACTTTCCTCCCTGCTTGCAACTGCTTTGGCGGCTATGTTTCTTTAAAAGTCACCAATCACTCTTGTTCTGCCTACCGCTGTTGATATTTACCTATACCACCTATGCTGAGGGCAGGGACTGGCAAACACAGGACTGGCATAGTGTTTGGAAATTGAACTGAATTACCTGCTGGAGGACCCAGATCGAATGATTTCCAGATGGACTTGCTTGTACTGTTCTATCCCTGCCCAAAGGACCCACCTTTGCTGTTTAGATCCCTGGAATTCTTCCGTCATTTCAGTTTCGCATTTGCTTGATTACTGCAGCATCAGTACATCTGTCATGCGCCCCGAGGTTCCTCCCCATTAGGAGAAACATACCATGGAAGTTTACCTTGCAGGCCAATTCTTTTTTCTTTTTCTTTTTTTTAAATTCCAAATTCTCCCAGATCCTGGATTGCAAGCCAATTCTGATAGGTGGTGCTTTCCTAGAATATTAATTTAAGAAGGATTCTGTGGCTGGCTGGGCAGAAAGAATGCTAAGATGGCTTAGCAATGTCTGCCCCAGGGGAAAGAGGGCTCTTTCTGCCTTAGTGTGAAATGTTTGTCCGTCACTTTTCTTGCACTGAGCCAAGACTGGGACCCTGAGCATGTAGGGCCTTTGCCTCTGGTGGAGCTGATGGGGAAAGTGACTAGAAGACCAGCAGGTGGATCTACCTTCTTGGGATTTATGGTGGTTTACCTTCCAGTCAGATGCCTGGATCTCTGACGCACCCTTCTGACATATGGCCCCAGGGCAGCTGTGGAATTTTTTTCCTTTTTTGAGACAGGGTCTCCCTCTGTCACCCAGCCTGGAGTGCAGTAGCACCATCACAGCTCTCTGAGCCTAGACCTCTCCACCTCAGCCTCCTGAGTAGCTGGGACTACAGGAGCATGCCATCATGATGGCATGCCCTATAGTGAACAGAACACTGGGTGAACAGAGTATTGATATTGAGGTTAGACACAGGAGGGATAAACTGGGAGCTGCAGGAACACGTTAAAGGGACCAGTTACTACAAAGGGGAGCTAGGGATAGCTTCTAGAGGAGGCAAGCTTTGTTCTGGGACTCGAAGGTTGAGTAGCAGTCGGCTGGGTAGAGGAGAAAAAGGGCCTGGACCAAGGGCTGTGGAATCTTTTTTATATTATTTCATTATTTTTTTTTGAGATGGAGTCTCTCTTTGTCACCAGGCTGGAGTGCAGTGGCATGAACTCAGCTCACTGCAACCCTTGCCTCCTGGGTTCAAATGATTCTCCTGCTTCAGCCTTAGAGTAGCTGGAACTATATACAGGTGTGTGCCACCATGCTAGCTAATTTTTGTATTTTTAGTAGAGACAGGGTTTCACTTTGTTGGCAGGGTGGTCTCAATATCTTGACCTCATGATCTGCCAGCCTCAGCCCCCCAAAGTGTTGGTATTACAAGAGTGATCCACCCCGCCCAACCAAGGGCTGTGGAATCTTTTTTTTTTTAGGGGGAGAAAGGGAGGGTGAGGGTGGAGAGAGAGAGAGGGCCTCTTGAGAGAAGGAGAGAGAGAGAGAGACAGAGGGAGAGGGAAGGAGGAGGAAGCGGGAGAGAGAGGAGAGGAGGCAGAGGGATGGGGAGAGAAAGAGAGGGGCTGTGGAATCTTAAGCAGACCTGTAGGGCCTTTATGGCTCAGGAGCCCCAGCAGGTTCCTTAGCAGGTGACAATGAGGTGATGGCACTGAATTTCCCAGCTGTGGGAATGTTCCCCATCCTTCTCTCTTTCCATGCAGCTCAGGCCTTCAGGAATTACAAGGGCATATCCAAAGTGAATGACGTCCAGAGGAGTTTTATTTCTTGGCTTTCTATCTTTGCCCCAGGGCACCTGACAGCCATGGCCTCCCGTAGTAGCCTCCCCTGGAAATGCAATGAGATTTGTCTTGGTCTTTGGGGCAGGAGTGTACAATCCCCCAAGGCCTGGCCTTCCTGAATCGATGGGCCTCAAGTGGTCTAACAGTCCCACATGCCTCCCCATGCAGGAGCACGGGCTAGTGCCTTGGCAAATGGCTCCTGCCTGTGCCCAACACCTCTAGCAATGCTTCCTCCAGGGTCAATGCCTTCGTTCAGGTGGCTCTGCTCAGGGAGTGCCGTCACTTCCTTCAAGCCCCCTTCCCTCCAGTGGTCATTTGGCTCCCTCCCTCGGGTCTGCACTGACACTGGGTCCTCTCAGGTTTCTTCCACCTGACGATGACTCAAACATACGCGCACCTAGGCAGTTTAAGCCTCTGGGTCAATCCTTGCCAGTGTCTTCAAAGCTAGAACAGCCCTTCCCCCATGGCCAACTTCTAACTCTGTGGCCCTTGTCACTTCATCCAGGGTCACAGCCAGCCCTCACCTGTGGCACATGTATTTTGAGGCCCATTTGCCCTGGGTGGCTGACTGTCTGGGCCCATCTCATTATGGCACACCTTGCCCAGCCCAAGAAGATGGGCTGGTTTTCCTCTTAGAGTAGACAGTAGCAGCTCAACAGTCTTAAATCATCATTTCTAATTTAATTCGACAAACCTGACTTTCAGGAAGTTCTTTCTCATCTCTGACCCAGATACCTCCAGCTTAAATGTAATTTCCTCATGCTCTGCCGAATACCCTTCTCTATCATGAACCCCTCTTTGGGTAACTGAACCACAGTTCCAGTCGTTTTAGCAGGTTTAGAAGTCCTGGATCCTTTTACCTTCCTTCAGAGACCACGTTCCCAGTTTGGGTTCATACAGGCAGACAACAAGGTCTGAGGAACCATCCTGTGCCCCAGGCACTGGGTAGGATGCTCAGAAGACATCGTTCCACACTTCTCCTTACAACCCAAGAGGCAGGTGCTACTGGGATCATCCCACTTAGTTGGCGCAAGACTGAGTCTCGGAGGTAAAATAACATGACCAAGGTGACAAAGCCAGGATGTGGAAAAGCTGGCTCAATTCCTACATCTAACAAGGCTTTAGAGCGGACATTTGGTCCAGCCACCAGCTGCCAAGCAGACCACTGTGAGCATGTAGGACAGATGTTGCCTCTGACTTTGCATCCATTTTGCCTGGTTTCTACCTTAATTTTGCATTAGTCATTTCTGCCTGCCTAAATGACCTTCAGTTACGGATTTCTGCCTCCCGTTCTGCTCATGCACTTGTTGGTTTGCTGTTTTTAGAGTACAAATGCATGGTGCAGGGCTCAGAGGCTTGGAGCCATCCCTGTCTCATGCCAGGGTCTTTGTTCATAGGGAAGCCCTTCATCAGACTTTCGGGGCAGCTCGATTTGATTTGTCTATTTCACTGTCCTTGTATATAAAATGAGGATAAAATAACTGAATTTGGGGATCATTGGATTATTGTCATAACAACAATAGCTAACTTTTTTTTTTTTGAGACAGGGTCTTGCTCTGTCATCCAGGCTGGAGTACAGTGGTGCGATCATGGCTCTCTGCAGCCTCAACCTCCTGGGTTCAAGTGATCCTCCCCTCTCAGCCTCCCAAGTAGCTGGGACCACAGGTGTGTGCCACCACACCTGGCTAATTTTTAATTTTTGTAGAGAAGGGGGTCTCCCTGTCTGCCCAGGCTTGACTTGAATTCCTGGCATCAAGGGATCTTCCTGATTTGGCCTCCCAAAGTGCTCAAATTATAGGCATGAGCCACTGCACCCTGCCAGAGCTAACATTTTATTAAAGCAATAATAAAATGTGTAAGGCACGTAGTTTATATGTTTTATTTTATTTAACCTTCAAAAAAATCCTAGGAGATAGATATTATCATACTCCTATCACAGAGGAGGAAACAGGCTCAGAGAGGTTATATGACATGTTCAAGATGACAAAGTTAGCAAGAAAAAAGGTCAAGGTTTGAACTCAATTGTCTCACTCCTGAGCTGGTGCCTTTAACTACTATCCAACAGGACAATAAACAGGTTGCTCTAGGTAAGCCTGGTGTATGGAAAGGAAACCAGATAAAGCCAACTGCCTTGTTTCAGCCCTAAAGGTCATCTCAGCATTTGAATACACAAAAAATCTAACTCCTTAAAGCTTTGAGAAGTATTTACTGAAGGCTGCTGGCCAGGGCTTGTCTTTACTGAAGGCTGCTGCCTGGAGCCCTGGTTCAGGGCTCTGCTGCTCACCACACAGTGTTGTTTCTTAACATGTATCTTCAATCCTCTTTTCCCCAAATATTTTTCCCAGTAGTATCCATTCAGTACTCTTCTCTCCCACTCCCACTTCTGTCTCCTTCCAAACCCTCTTCCTGATCTTCCTCTTCCCGTGGCTCCATTCCCTTTCCTTTATGGATCCATCTACCCTTGCCTTCTTTTGGTAATCTTGTCTGACCTGCTCAGCAAAACAAAGATGTTTTGCCTATGGGCCTCAAGAAGAGGATAGTAAATCCATGTAATAATGAAATATGGTTGTACTTGGCATGCTGGGCTCCCCATGCATGGCCAAGGCAGATAAAAGAAAACCCTAAGGGGCTAAGGGGACAACAGAGAGGGGATTTAGAAAACTACTTTCTGGCCAGGCACAGTGGCTCATGCCTGTAATCCCAGCACTTTGGGAGGCCAAAGTGGGTGGGTCATCTGAGCTCAGGAGTTCGAGACCAGCCTGGGCAACATGGTGAAACCCCATCTCTACTAAAAATATAAAAAATTAGCCAGGCATGGTGGCACACACCTGTAATCCCAACTACTTGGGAGGCTGAGGCAGGAGAGTTGCTTGAACCTAGGAGGCAGAAGTTGCAGTGAGCCGAGATTGTGCCACTGCATTCAAGTCTGGGCAACTGAGCAAGACCCTGTCTCAAAAAAAAGAAAAGAAAGAAAGAAAAAGAAGAGAAAACTACTTTCGTCACAGGCTCTAAATTCTGTCTCTTTTCCTTCCCTTCCCTCCATCAGTACCTGGGGTAGGAGGAGGAGAGGTGTGGGTATTAACCCCTCCTTACCATCTGACTCAACTCTGCACATCCTGCAAGACCTGGAAAAATCTCTGCCCAGACAGTCCTGGACCAAGCTGGTCCACAGTCCCTTCCCTGCCCCTGATTCCTGTGGGCGCTGGCCCCTCTTACCATTTGCCTTGCCTTTCTTGTTAGCAGACTTTCAGGGTGTGTGATGCTTCACCTCATCTAGGCTGTAAACTCCTTAAAAGCAGGGCCTTGCTCTTTCAGAGTGCCCAGGTAGGTGAAACTTGACTTAGATACTAATTAAAGATTTGCTTGGGAAATGGCTGTGGAGTAAGACCTCTAGGAGTAAGGTCTCTGGAGTTTGCATTCGGGCTCCATCACTGTGGTGGGTCGTCCCTGCTTTTTCATGCTCTGAACGTCTATACCATTTGTTAAGATCCTCCGGCACTGACTCCGCACTCGGCCTTGTGATTTGCTTTGGCCAATAGAATGTGGTAGAATGATGGACTTGTTCTAGTCTTGGGGCTCCAAAGGCTCTGCCCACATTCATTGTCTTGGAAGCTTCCCACCATGATGAGGAACAAGGTCAGGAGGACAAGAGACCACGTGCAGGACAGCAAGTCATCCTAGCTGATGCCATCCTAGACCCAGCAGAGGAAAGCTGGCCCAGAGCCGCAAACACACGAGGGAGCCCAGATAAAATCTCACTAACTTGGACCAAATCAGCAGAGTGACTTAGCCAACCCTATTGATTGATGTGCAAAAGTACATTTGTAGGCCAGGCACGGTGGCTCACACCTGTAATCCCAGCACTTTGGGAGGCCTAGGCGGGTGGATCATGAGGTCAAGAGATCGAGACCATTCTGGTCAACATGGTGAAACCCCGTCTCTACTAAAATACAAAAAATTAGCTGGGCATGGTGGCGCGTGCCTGTAATCCCAGCTACTCAGGAGGCTGAGGCAGGAGAATTGCCTGAACCCAGGAGGCGGAGGTTGCGGTGAGCCGAGATCTCGCCATTGCACTCCAGCCTGGGTAACAAGAGCGAAACTCCGTCTCAAAAAAAAAAAAAAAGGTACATTTGTATTGTTATTAGGCTGTCAGTAGATATTTTGTGGGTACTTGTTATGCAGCACTTATGTGGTGTTAAAGAATGGATACAACCATTTACTAGCTCTGTGATCTTGCTATACTTTTTTGTTTTTGAGACAAGGTCTTGCTCTGTTGCCCAGGATGGAGTTCAGTGGCATGATCTCAGCTCACTGCAACCTCCGTCTCCTGGGCTCAGGCCATCCTTCTGCCTCAGCCTCCTGAGCTGATGGGAGTACAGGCACATGCCACCATGCCTGGCTAATTTTTGTACATTTTTTCTTTTTGAGATGGAGTCTCGCTCTGTTGCCCAGGCTGGAGTGTAGTGCTGCGATCTTTGCTCACTGCAACCTCTGCTTCCCAGGTTCAAGCAATTCTCCTGCCTCAGTCTCTCAAGTAGCTGGGACTACAGGTGCCTGCCACCACACCTGGCTAATTTTTGTATTTTTAGTAGAGATGGGGTTTCACCATATTGGCCAGGCTGGTCTCGAACTCCTGACCTTGTGATCCTCCTGCCTCAGCCTCCCAAAGTGCTGGGATTACAGGCGTGAGCCACTGAGCCCAGCCTTAATTTTTGTATTTTTAGTAGAGACAGGTTTCACATTGTTGGCCAGGCTGGTCTGGAACTGCTGACCTCAAGTTATCTACCCACCTTGGCCTCCCAAAGTGCTGGGATTACAGGCATGAGCCACCACACCCAGCTGCCTGCTATATACCTCAACTTCCTTGTCAGTAAAATGGAAATGTAGTGGACACTGTTGATAGCTTCAGACGAGGCTCTTCTCCCAGTGACTGCTTCTGCTGAAGAGCTGCTTCACCCAGGGTTCTGCCCCCTTTCCTGGGGCCGCCTGTAGCCATTGACTGGCTAATGTGGAAGTGTGAAAGTCTGGCCCCTTGCTGCTGTTGGGGGCAACTCTGCAGGGCCATCCTAGCTTCAGATTCAGAGCTGCCTGTGGCTAGGGACTAGATGACTACATCATGTCCCTGCTTTCTCCTCTGCCTAATTCGGTTTAATTTCTCCACAAGGGTCAAATTCAAGAGACTTTCAAATTGACCTCTTACATTCATATCCCCATTTTAGAATTAGATTTCCTGGAACTAACCTGTGGGGAGTGGATACAGGTGACTATGTAGCAAGATCTGGCCAATAGGATAAAAGCAGGTATGTTCTTGAGGCTGGCTGTGGTGGCTCACACCTGTAATCCCAACACTTTGGGAGGCTGAGGCCAGTGGATCATCTGAAGTCAGGAATTTGAGACCATCCTGGCCAACCTGGTGAAATGCCATCTCTACTAACAACAAAAAACAAAAATTAGCTGGGCATGGTGGTGGGCACCTGTAATCCCAGCTATTCCAGAGGCTGAGGCAGGAGAATCACTTGAACCTGGGAGGCAGAGGTTGCAGTGAGCCAAGACTGCGCTATTGCACTCCAGCCTCGCGACAGAGACCCCATCTCAAAAAAAGCAGATATGTTCCTTAAGACTGTATTGCCGTCAAACTTTGGACCTGTTACCACTACCAACAGAATTTTTTTTTTTTGAGACAAGGTCTCAACAAAAAATATGTGTGTATATATATATATATATTTTTTTTTTTTTTTGGAGACAAGGTTTTGCTGTGTTGCCCAGGCTGGAATGCAGCGGCAGGATCATGGCTCACTTGCAGCCTTGACTTTCCTGGACTCAAGTGATCCTCCCACCTCAGCCTCCCAGGTACATGGAACCATAGGCACCTGCCACTGCACCCAGCTAATTTTTGTAATTTTCGTAGAGATGAAGTTTCACTATGTTATCCAGACTAGCAGAAATATATTTAAAATATATATTCAATTTAAAAAGAAAAATTTAATTGAGATTGTATTCTTCTTCAGTGAGATGGACAGAGCTTTCCCTGCACCCCAACATTTTTTCAAGGAGAGGCAACATGTGTGGGGGTTTGGTTCATGTGTGGATTTAGGCAGCCTTGGTCTGAATCTTGGTTTTGCTACTTAGGGGCTGTGTGGTTTTGGGCAGGTTATTCTCTTTGTGCCACAGAATCTTCACAATATTTCTGTCTACGTCATATGGTTGTGGTAAGGACCAAATGAGTTAGTATATAAAGTGCTTAGTTCGAACATTACCTGATATATTGTAAACATAGTTTGCGTTTTTGATGTAATAGAATGCACCAAATGGATGGAAAATTATTTATTGCTAGAATAACTAGGGTTCAGAGCAAATTAATAAGAAAAGAAGATATTATATCACTAGTAAGTTGGAGGTTTCTAAAAGATGTATTCATAATTGTTCAATGCATTATTTATAGCAAAATCATATCTCAGTGGTAAGTTAATCTAAGAACATGGTAGGAATAAATAAATGAGCAGAGAAGTAATTGATAAATGATAGCAAAATATTTTTTATTTTTAGATGGAGTATTGCTCTGTCGCCCAGGCTGGAGTGCAATGGCTCAATCTTGGCTCATTGCAACCTCCGACTCCAGGGTTCAGGCAATTCTCTGGCCTCAGCCTCCCAAGTAGTTGGGATTACAGGTGACCACCACCAAGCCCAGCTAATTTTTTTTTTGTATTTTTTTAGTAGAGACAGGGTTTCACCATGTTGGCTAGGCTGGTCTCGAACTCCTGACCTCAGGGGATCTGCCCACCTGGGCATCCCAAAGTTCTGAGATTACAGGTGTGAACCACTGCGCCTGGCCCAAGATGTAAGTATTAATACATCAAAGTATAACTATGATTATCTTCAGAGCATCTGTTGATATGGGTGTTGGGACATGCGGACTCTCCACTGTTGTTGGAGTGTGTCTTTGTAAGGATCTTTAGACTGTTTCCTCAACTATAAACACCCCATGACTACAGACTGTGACCAGCAAGGTATGTGCCTTTCTAGTTTTAAGATGGAATTTATTGGCCAGGTGCCGTGGCTCATACCTATAATCCCAGCACTTTGGGAGGCCGAGGCAGGAGGATCACTTAAGACCAGGAGTTGAGACCAGCTGGGCAACATGGGGAGATCCTGTTTTTCAATTAAAAAAAAAAAAAAAAGATGGAGTTGATTGTAAAATGGCGTCACTCTGGCTCTCCCACGCCCCTGCTTCTGTAGCAGTCCCACAGGAACGGAGGCACTGGCCAGCCTGCAGGGAGCTAGGAGGACTCAGGAGGAAGGAACCCATGTAGCTGAGTCTGCGGGTGTCAGGGGCCCACTGTATAACTGGAGCTTTCAGCTTTAAATTCTGCATAGGAGATAATGTTTTTTAAATGCGCAGTCATAAAAACAAGTTAACTTGAAGTTCACATATTGTTTACTTATTTTTGAGGCAGAGTCTCACTCTGTTACCCAGGTTGGTGTGCAGTGGCTTGATCTTGGCTCACTGCAACCTCTGCTTCCCAGGTTCAAGTGATTCTCCTGCCTCAGCCTCCTAAGTAGCTAGGATTACAGGCATGCACCACCACGCCTGGCTAACTTTTTTATTTTTCAGTAGAGATGGGGGTTTCACCAGGTTGGCCAGACTGGTCTCGAACTCCTAACCTCAGGTGATCCACCTATCTCAGCCTCCCAAAGTGCTGGGATTACAGGCGTGAGTCATTTCGCCTGGCCGAAGTTCACACATTATTAAAACTCAGTGGTAATGACAGCATTTATTTATATTTAGAACTTGGACCAATAAAATACTTTTTGAGGGAGGAATGTTTTATCACTGACATTGTTTAGGATTGCTGGCTGAGGGGATAACCAAGAGCTTTGGGTTGGTTACTCTTTTACAATTGTCTACGGACAATGTACCATCTATTCCCTGCCTTGGTAGTGGGCAGGGAACAGTTTCTACTACCCTGCTCTTGCCTGCCACCGATAGAAGAGAGGTCCACCTCTCTTTTATAAAGTAGCAGAAGGGTGACTCATGGCAAAAGGCTGGTGGGACGCCAGCCAGCATCAGCCCTTGGCCCCTCCCCTACTTTGTTCTTATCTTGTTCCAGTCTCTGTCCTACTGTTTGTCAGGAGATGCTGCTGTCCTAGACCTTGAGGCTGAGAGACTTGCCCTAGGGCTGGCACAGCGGGAAGGAGCTTAGGACCCCGGCCCTGCATCACCTCCATAGAAAGTGCTCCATCTTCATTCTATGTCGGGGAGAAGTAAGATCCCATTTCTTCTGGGGTCTTGCTCTGTCACCCAGACTGGAGTGCAGTGGTGAGACGTTGGCCCACTGCAACCTCCACCTCCTGGGTTCAAGCAATTCTCCGGCCTCAGCCTCCTGAGTGCCTGGGATTACAGGTGACCGCCGCCCCACCAAGCTCATTTTTGTATTTTTAGTAGAGACAGGGCTTTGCCATGTTGGAGAGGCTGGTCTTCAACTCCTGACCTCAAGTGATCTGCCCACCTCAGCCTCCCAAAGTGTTGGCATTACAGGCATGAGACACCAAGCCTGGCCCTCTTTTCTGGGGTTTCTGACACATTCAGGGATCAGGGACATTTATGCCAGGGTCCTGATATTTAAGCTGAGTCTGGAGAATGAATAGGTATTTTCTGAGTAGGAAGAGGGAAGAGAATTTCAAGGAGTCGGGCTTGGGTAGGAAAGCCAAGAGCCAAGAGACCGTGTGGTAAGTTTGAGGAATGGAAAGAAGCTCTGGATGGGGGAGCTTAGGGTGCTGGGGCCTCTGGAATAGGAACCCCAGAAGGACTTACCTGTACAAATGATTGATCTGTGCTTGTTAGCATTACCTAACATTCTGTCTGGGAGTTCTAGGGTGCTAGGAGGTTCTCAGAGGCCAAACCACAGAACCCAGGGCCTCACCTTCCCAGGGTTGCCCTGGGCAACCTCTGTTTGTAAAGAGTCCTGTTTACCATCTACTGACTCACAGTCATCTGTGGTTTCTATGGTTCCCACTAACAGTGAAGCATAAATCCATTCCTAGAGGGTGGAGTCTACAGGGTGGGGCTGTCCTCTCCCTTTTCTGGCTCAGAACTCCTCGAAGCTTCCCAGCCAGCAGCAGTGGGGGGTTGTGGGAGTGTCTTTGTTTATGGAATCTCAAATGTGGGGTTCCTTGGGAGGCTGGGACAAGGAGCTGGGTGAAGGGACAGATCTCTGCATTCAGGGCTTGGGGCCACGTCCATTGAGTGGGCGAGAATTGGGCAACTCTAAGCTGATCGGAAGCCCCATTCCCTCTGCATAACTAGAGGAGGGGCCCAGGAGATGGAGAGAGAGACTCCAGGAAGAGTTAGAGCAGGATTAGGAGACGCGGCTCGTTTCTTCACCAAGGGCAAGTCGCTTGTTCCCCAAAGCGGTGGCAGATGTATAAATGCAAAGTTGGGAGGAGCAGTTGTTTGGCATCTGGCAGAGACATACATAAAGGAACCAAGAGAAAGGGAAGCCAGAGGGACAGGTGGACTTTCAAAAGAGTATTTCATTTCACACATTTGCACAAAGCCTCATAGGTTACAAAGCATTTGTGCCTCTATTTTCTCATCTGCTTGTCACAGAAGCCCTGTGAGGAAGCCCGGACAAAAAACATCAATCCATTTTAAAATGAGGAAACTCTGGCTTATGAAAGTTGTTTAACACAGCCAAGGTCAAAAACAGGACTAGAATCTAGAGCTCCTGGCTACAGTTCAGTGCTTTCTTTTTCTTTTTTCTTTTGTTTTTTTTTTTTTGAGATGGAGTCTCTGTTGCCCAGGCCGGAGCACAGTGGCACGATCTCGACTCACTGCAACCTCCCCCTCCTGGGTTCAAGTGATTCTCCTGCCTCAGTCTCCTGAGTAGCTGGGACTACAGGCATGTGCCACCACACCTAGCTAATTTTTTGTATTTTTAGTAGAGACAGGGTTTCACTGTGTTAGCCAGGATGGTCTCGATCTCCTGACTGCATGATCCACCCACCTTGGCCTCCCAAAGTGCTGGGATTACAGGCTGAGCTACCATGCCCGGCCAGTGCTTTCTTTAATTTTTTTCTTTTTTTTCAATAGAGATGGGTCTCTCCATGTTGCCCAGGCTTCTCTTTAATGATCCGAGAGTGTTGGGATTACAACACTTTGGCTTGAGCCACCACACCTGGTGCAATGCTCTTTCTACCAAATAAATGTCTCTCAAACTTGGGCCTACCTGGGCCATTTTAATGGGTGTTTAATACACACAAAGTGCCAAAATTTTGGTCAACTTGACAAATTGTCAGCTGGGCCCCCGCCAGTGGCTCATGCCTGTAATGTAAGCACTTTGGGAGGCGAAGGTGGGGGGATCACTTGAGGTCAGGAGTTCGAGATCAGCCTGGCCAACATGGTGAAAGCCCATCTCTACTAAAAATACAAAAACTAGCTGGGCATGGCAGCGGGCACCTGTAGTCCCAGCTACTTGAGAGCCTGAGGTGGAAGAACCACTTGAAGCCAGGAGGCAAAGGTTGCAGTGAACCAAGATCATGCCACTGTGCTGCAGCCGGGGTGATAGAGTGAGACCCTGTCTTGGAAAAGAAAACGTCACTGCTGGTGTAGCGGTGCACTGCCTGAGGTCCTAGTTGCCCGCGGAGGCTGAAGTGGTCAGATCGCTTGTGTCTGGGAGGTTGAGGCTGCAGTAAGCTACGATCACACCCCTGCACTCCAGCCTGGGTGACAGAGCAAGACTCTGCCTCAAAAAAATTTGTCTCGAATTTTAAAATAATGCATTAAAACACTAAAAAAGTAACCATAGTGTCTCTGTTTTAAATCAAGGAGAAGGACGTCGTCATTTTCACTAGGTTGTTTGTATTCAGCCTGATGTCAGACTTTAGGAATGACATCCAGGGCTCTGTGGCTGTTAGTCCTAGATGAGCCCATGAAACTTGAACTCAGAACCGTGGAGGACATTCTCAGGGAAGGCGATTTGCCACACCGCCAGGACCTACAACTGTAAGCACGTGACACTCCACATTTGGAAGACTGTCTTAACCCTGGGTGGTGGTGGTGGTGGCAAAGAGATTTCTTATCCAACCCTTGGCTTCATTGGAAAGTACTTCATGTTCTGATGTTGAATTTCAACTTTTTTTAAATTGCAGTAAAATAGACATAACATGAAGTTTACCTTGTAATCTCAGTGGTTTTAAGACATACCCAAGTTCTTTTCCGGCCCCAGCCCCAGCCCCTACAACTGCCAAGATGTTGATGCTTAAGAAGAATGGGACTGCCATTTATGAACACCTTTTTAAGGAGGGAGTCATGGTGGCCAAGAAGGATATCCATGTGCCTAAGCACCGGAGCTGACAGACAAGAATGTGCCCACCTTCTTTTTTTTTCTAGGAAAGAAAAAAAAAAAGGAGTGAAGGAGAGGAAGAAAGAAGAAGAAAAAGAGGGAGAGAGAATGGAAATGTTGCTTTATTCTAAAAAAAATGGGTATTAATAATGGCCAATCAATATTTCATTTAAACCTATGAGTAGGTGTGATGTGGTATTGACAAGAATGTATATTTTGTGTATTTAAAGTGGAGAGCTCTATAAATGTTTATTAAGTTTACTTGTTCCAGATCTGAGTTCGAGTCCTGGATATCCTTATTAATTTTCTGTCTGATTGAGTCTAAGTCTCTATGTATCTGGGTGTTAGGATTGTTAGCTCTTGTTGTTGCATTGATCCTTTTACCACTATATCTTTGTTGCTTTAAAATCTATTTTATCAGATACGAGAATTGCAACTCCTGCTTTTTATTTATTTATTTATTTTTGCTCTCTATTTGGTTGGTAAATCTTTCTCCATCCCTTTGTTTTGAGTCTTTGTGTACCCTTGCATGTGAAATGGGTCTGGATGTAGCATACCGGCGGGTTTTGGCTGTATCTTTTGATTGGGGGATTTAGTCGATCTAAATTTAGGATTACTGCCATTTGATGTTAACTGGCTGTTTTATCCATTCGTTGATGTAAATTATTCTTTATGTTGATGCTCTTGACTTTTTGGTATATTTTTAGAAAGGCTAATACTGGTTGTTTCTTTCTATGTGTAATGCTTCTTTCAGAAGCTCTTGTAAAGCAGGCCTGGTGGTAATAAAATCTCTGAGTACTTGCTTGTTCATAAAAGATTTTATTTTTCCTTCAGTTGTGAAGCTTAGTTTGGCTGGATATGAAATTCTGGGCTGAAAGTTCTGTTCTTTAAGGATGTTGAATATTGGCCCTCACTCTCTTCTGGCTTGTAGAGTTTCTGCTGAGAGATCTGCTGTAAATCTGACAGGCTTCCCTTTGCGGGTAACCTGGCCTTTCTTTTTGGCTGCCCTTAGTATTTTCTCCTTCGTTTCAACCCTGGTGAATCTAACAATTATATGCCTTGGGGTTGCTCTTCTTGAGGAATATCTTTGTGGTGTTCTCTGTATTACCTGGGGTTGAATATTGTCCTGCTTTGCTAGGTTAGGAAAATTTTCCTGAATAATATCCTGAAGAATATTTTCCAGCTTGGATTCATTCTCTCCATCGCATTCAGGTACACCTATCAAACGTAAATTTGGCCTTTTCACATAGTCCCACATTTCTTGGAGACTGCTCATTCCTTTTTATCCTTTTTTTTCTAATCTTGTCTTTTCATTTCATTTCATTAAGTTGGACTTCAACCTCTGATATCCTTTCTTCTGCTTGATCAATTCGAGTGTTTAAACCTGTGCATACTTGTCAGAGTTCCTGTATTGTATTCTTCAGTTCCATTAATTCACTTATATTCCTCTCTAAATTGTCTATTCTCATTAGGATTTCGTCAAACCTTTTTTCAAAGTTCTTAGTTTCTTTACATTGGGCTACACCATGTTCTTTTAACTCACAGAAGTTTCTTATTATCCATCTTCTGAAGCCTGATTCTGTTAAAGGGATGCAGTTGTTCTCCATCAAGCCTTGTTCCCTTGTTGATGAGGAACTGTGATCCTCTTTAGAGGGAGAGGCGTTCTGATTTTGAGTATTCTCAGCCTTTTTACGCTGGTTTCTTCCCATCATTGTAAATTTATCCACCTGCCATCTTTTTAATTACCAACTTTCAAATTAGGTCTCTGAGTGGACGTCCAAGTTGTTAATTCCCAGGGCCGAAATCTGAGCAACCCACTTCGCCGGCCAAAACAGCAGCGTTAAGACTGATGGTGCTTTTCTGCCCGGGAATCTCCAGTCTGGCTTCCTTCTTAAGTCTGTAATAGGCGACTCTGCCTTCCCGGAGCTCCAAACGTCGGTCAGGAGGGGAACCAGTCCCGTTTACTCTGCACCAAGAGCTGCCCCGCCGCGGTGCCGGCAAAACTGCTGCACCAGCCACAAGAGTCGTGCTGGCGACCCGTGGGGCTCCTCCACTGGGAATCTTCTGCTCCGTGAGCGACACAAATTTGTCTGAAAGTGTGATGTCCTCTCCTTCTCTCCGCTTTCACTGGGAGCTGCAATCCCGAGATGTTAGTGATCAGCCATCTTGGATCGTTCCTTCTCTGTGCCCACCTTCATGTCGTGAAGCCCATGCAGTCTCTCAAGTCCCCACGCTATGTGAAGGAACAGTTTGCCTGGAGACATGTCTACTGGTGCCTTACCAACGAGGTCATCCAGTATCTCCGTGATGACCTTCGTCTGCCTCCGGAGATTGTGCCTGCCACCCTACGCCACAGCTGTCCAGAGAGGCCTCAGCCTAAAGGTCTGGAAGGTGAGCGACCCACAAGACTCACAAGAGGGAAAGCCGGCAGAGATACCTGCAGACAGAGGGCTGTGCCCCCCGTGCAGACAAAAAAGCTGAGGCTTGGGCTGGGCCACGTTAGAGGCAGATTTGGTTGTGGACATGGTCAGCCACTGCCACCTCAGTAAAACTGGAGAGGATAATTTTACATTGAATACACTTACAGCCAAAAAACAAA